GGAAAACATATATGGCTGCTCTGTTTGTTCCAATTGGAAGAACTTAATTTGAAAAAGCAGAATTTCAGATGCAATTTGAAACTAAATAGTTTGTACCATTTTGGTCTTCCCCCAGTCAGATGGTGAGGGACATTGCGGTCACAATGGTTGATGGGTGCATGCACAGAGACTGCTGAGACTACAAAGCAAAAAAAACATGTGGAAAATAATTTTTTGATTTGAATAAGTGATTCTGACACATTCTTCACAAACTGAGCATGATGACTATCATCTGGATGAGTCAAGATTTCATGTGCTTGACCAGTTAAAGTCAAAGCATGACATGTAGAGTGCCTTTGGTAGTGTGATTTCCGAAGCACGGTGTCAAAAACAACAATGACAAAACAACATAGGTATGAATAGGTTTAATAGCACCAAGGCAAAAGAGAAATTCTTATGTGAATGAAGATCTAGGCTCAAAAACATAAATGTCTGCAAAAACCCACTCTGTCAAATTTTTCCACAGGCCATCAGGAGCTCTTTAATTGGAGCCTGAGTTGCAATCTGTGGGGCTCGAAATCTGAACCTTAGGATTCCAAGCTCTATGCACTAACCACTACGCCACCACTTCCCCATTAATAATGCAATATGGATAGAAAAAAAGATTTGGCCTCAGGTTTGCCTCAAACAACTATTTTATTGATCACATCTTTCACAAGTAATGTTCCCTAAATGCATCAATTGTCATCAATTGTCATCACTTGTCTGACTTTGAACATGTTAGTTGATTGTAGACCAAGTTGATGCATTTTCAGATTTTCTGAGTGGAAGGGATAGTATGAGATATATTATTAACCTTATTGCAGTTGTTAACAGATGCTGTACATATTATATAAGCGAACACTGGTTCAAGTTTTGTTTTTGTTTCAGAGCAGCATTCAATTCATACAAAGATGTACAATCAGTAAGAACAAACTTTTAAAAAAAACTTCTCACCAGGATCTAAACAGGGCTTCCTTCAGTCACTGCAAGTTAAACTGAGGTTGCTGTTTTCTTTTTTTTTTCCCTGCTTATTGGTGTCAGCTTTGAATAGAAGTCGTATCAGTGCACCTGAGCTAAGGCATAAAGTGCTGCGCTGCACTGAGTCCACTGCAGTGGATTTAACTAACCTGTCCAGTGATGGATGAATTTACATCCCACAGGCCTCACAGTTGGACAGGCATTCATGGCAGATGGTGATTTGTGAATTGCATGTTGAAAATCCCTACCTGCACCAGCTGTGCATGGCAGCAAAGCAGATACCTGAATCAGATTAATATTAATCAAATTAAAACAGAACTTGTGCATGAGCTGCAGGTATATTGCTACTATTTAAACCTCCATTTTTTTTTTGTTTAAATGTGCAATATAGTTTAAGTGTTTAGTTAATCCTTGTCTGTAGCCAACAGGCCCTGTAGCATGATCAGATAATGACTGCCATATGCAGATGCAGAAACCATGCAATTTATAAACAGCACATAATAGAAATAAACTATAAATAAATTGTCAGCATTATTTCTTCCTAAAGCATTTTGGGACTTTCCCAGTAATTTTAAGGAGCTTTTAAAAAGATTGGTTTATGTGCAATAAACAAAACAGTGTTTTTAGGACGTCCAGCTTGTTCATGTAAGAAAAAAAAAGAGGAAACAAGCAGAGTAGCAGGGTCGGGTCGAGGAAGTCAGATTGAATATAGAGAATTATACACAGATTTATGAGTCACGGATAGCCTGCAGTCAGGGAAGCTTGTGCACATTCAAACTATAACCCCATTAAGTCACAAGTGAATTTGTCTGATTCGGTAAAAGACGTGAACATAATGAAACTAGTGTATTTCTCCTGCTTTCATGAGCTGTGAATTAGTTTTGAAGCAGATTATCTTTGCGAGCTTTAAGATTTAATAGGACCTTCAACTTGAAGGTCTTTATTTTAATGCATATAGTTTTTTTTCTTTCCCAAATGATGTTACTGGCTTTAAAGCTATTCAAGGTTATAAATTGTAATGAATCAGATGAAGCAGCTCTGAAAATGTTGGCAGCAGCGAGAAACGGTTTCTTCAAAGCTGAAGTAAACCTGGTGTTTCCATCCTCAGAAGGAATTTACATTTCCTCATTCCTTATGTGCAGATCTGGATCTAGGAGACAAACATCTATAGAAACTGGCAAGGTTTTAAAGTCACAGACCTGAGGTCACCCTGAATGTTGTCTGTTTGAATCCCAGGACTCGTCCATTGATGATCTCAGTGATACGGACAGTGACAGCAACTTTCCTCTGATGATCCCTCAGGACTATTTGGGTCTGGCCTTTTTCTCCATGCTCTGCTGCTTCTGGCCTTTGGGTATCGCCGCTTTCTATCTTTCTCAGAAGGTATGAACCTAAACTCACCCAAAAACTGTCAACCACATGTCTAACAACTGCTTCATATGCAGTATAAGCATTTTATTTTATGTGTTTAGAGACAAAGAGTTTTTTTTTTTTTTTTTTTTAAACCTGAGCAGCTTACTTCAATATTCTGAGGATTTTAGATCAAAATTCTTTAAAAAAAAAAATCTGTATTTAAAGAACAAAGTTAAAGTGAAATAATTATTTTTTCTCTGTAAAAGCAAATATGTTCTTTTAAAGTAGTCATGATCATCAATTCTTTACTCCGAAAGTCTTTCAAAGCTTTTGTTCAGGGTGTAGTTTCAGGTATTAAGGAAAAATAACTGAAAATTTAGCAAAGAATTGAGTCAAATCAAGTTAATGTTTTGGTGCTTCAGGCTGCTTTGACGTCATTCTCATTGCTGTTGATGCATCTTGGGAAAATAAAATATAATCCAGGGTAATTTGTTATCTGTGGTGTAATGGAAATGATAGAGTAAATATCATCTCAAGTATTTATGTGGTCAATGAAATTCTCACAGCTTGATAAACATGAGTCAAAACATTTAGATTTTAGGCTGTTTAAACAAAAAACATTGAATAATTTCAAACCTGGTTTATTTTATTTCATTGAAAACATTTCATCAACAATTATTGTGCTTTTGGTACTGCTAATAATATGAATCATTCTGGCAAATATGGTGAAAGAAGCATGTTGGAAACACAAAATGGCCTCTGTGAATTTTTTTGTGATTTTAAGCGTGCTGAAAAACATGACAGTCTGTGTTTTTTAGTGAATAAAAATAAGTTTAGATGAACAAAATGCTCCTTCTTGTTAGTCAGACAAAATGTAGTATTGTTCTTTTAAGCATCTTACAGGCAGTAGGCAGCAACAGGTGAGGGAAGGGCAGAGGTAATTCACTGTGTTTTCCATGTTGTCATGGTAACGCCCTGCACTTGGTTTGCATTTCCATCTCATTACATAAAGTAAAGAGATTCTATTGTTTGAAAAGGGAGGAGATGCTAATACTAAATAACAGAGTAATCTTAAACTAGAAAACCTTTTATTTTTTGTTTTAAATGCAGAATAAAATAGAGGGCCACGACACACAGGACAGCTTCCTTTATAGGAGAGTCCTGGATGATGTCTGCATCCTTTCAAACTCTGAATCAAGGAGAGAGGAAACTAAAACACAATGTCTCAAAGACGTTATTAATGGTTAATTCTGGGCTTTTCTCTGCAGGACAAATCAGAGACATACAACCATGCATGCATGTACTTACTAGAGGGTGGCCAAGGGACTTGAAATAAATGGAGATATAAATAAATGGAGAAATAAATAATTAGAGAGAGACAGAACATACACAAAGACTCTGAGAACATGCAAACTCCACATAAAACACCCTGGGCTGGGATTTAAACTCAGGGCAGTCTGACTGTAAAACAACTGTGCCAGCAACCACACCAAACACTCAAACTATTTCCCCTAAAAGCCCAGATAACTGGTCATCAGGAACCGTTTAGAATATTATAACAATATCTAGGTCTTTGGATGAAAAATGTGAACAAAAGTGAATCCAGAAGCATTGTAAACAACATTTATGGATCTAAAAAATGTAAATTTATTTCGTGAATTGTCTATAGAAATATGACACCTTATACCACTGGTGCTTCCACTGCTCTGCAGGATTGCAGGTATTGACACCACATCAACAAAAAAAGCCACTAAACCTGCAGATTTACTGCTGAGTTTAAGCTCTGCATCAGCAAACTGCTGAAATGATCAATCCTCATCCCTTAACACATACAAATGATACGAGGCTATTGCAGTCCATCAACATCTTCAGAGCTTTTCAACATAGAAATAAATATTAAAAGTAAAGTCAGTTGTTTCAAAAAATCTGTCAGAGATAACAGGTCCAGGTAGGAGAAAGCAAAATTTGTTGTTTTTTTTAAACAGGGAGAAACTAACAATGATAGATTTCCAGTGTTGTGGACAGCGACCTGAAACAGGGGTCAAAGTCAGAAACAAGGACTACGGGGAGAGAGAGGAGCACAAAAACCCCCACTGTACACTGTTTGTGATTCAGGGATGGAGCATAATGTGGGATTAGTCAGTGATTGAACTGAGTGGAGGAGGAAAGCCATGGAGGACACAGTGACAAATGATGACAAATACCCCTCTCTCTGATTTTGTTATTTTTTTCCCCAAACCGCTAATCCTTATCTCACTTTCTTCTGTTTTCCAGACCAACAAGGCATCAGCTCAGGGGGATTTTCAGGGAGCCAACATAGCCTCCCGCCAGGCGCTGTGGCTCTCCGTGCTGTCCATTGTGTTCGGAATCATAACGTACATCTGTGCCATTGCTGCGCTGATTTCCTACCTGTCTGCTAAGCCATTATAAGAGAAACTCTTTGCACTTGGATGCAAAAACACAAAGAGACAAACCCTTCATTAATATTACCACATTATCTGTAAGATAATAATAAACGAGAACTCGAGAGACATCCTCCACATTGAAGTTTGTGTCTATCTCACTGATAAATTTGTGCTTCCCGGATCATCACATGTGGGGCTTTAATAAAGATTAATGCAGGAAAAGGATGGAGAAGATGGCTGCTGCAATTTGAAGTCTGCAGATTTATCAGAGTTAGAGGGAACTCCTGATGGATTTCACTCATTCAGCACCGTCACTTACCTGGAAAAAGTTGGAGACATGCACATCCCATCTGGATTTTCCAGTTAACGTCACCTGTTGTTTACCTGCAGAAAGGACTGCCATTTTTTGTGATTAAAAGCCAAGTTTTATCTCTATGACATAAGCTGAGTGCCGTATATATAAAAGGAAACTAATGTAAGAAGTGGGAGAATTTTGAAACACATCCCGAAATGGGAGTAAAGAAATTGCTGCTGGGAAAATTGAACAACCCAGTGGGGGAATAGTGCCAAAAATGTTAAAGTGACCAGACTGGGGAGTAAATATTTCTGAAATATAAATTCTGATATTTCTTTGTTCTGTCAGACAGGAATGAAAACACTTTGGAAATAATTTCTTCAGGCTAAAATCATTGAAAACAACTTCTCACCTGTTTAGATGTAGAATATTAGTTTGAAAAAAGGTAAGAAAAAACACTGGGAACAGCTGATGTGACAAGTTGTTGTCTGCATGGCTCTTTTGTGTTTTACAAATGTTTAAAGCTGGATCTGTGTCATTAATGTGTGCCAAGTCCTTGCAAGGAAAGGTTTGATAAACCCTAAAAAAACATTCTCTTGCCATATTGGTTTAATCATAAGAACTATTTAAGGAAAGAGTGAAAGAACATTTTCCAGTAAAAATTAAATAATATTTTTACCTGTTTCTGCAATAGAATGGTACCACTGTGGTTGCTTTAACAAAACATAGGAGTGATAACCTGAGAGTTACACAAATCAGTATGAAATCAACCTTTAAATGTCTTAAAGCCAAGACTTTCTGAGCTGACTGGAGCAGCCTGCAGGCGAAAAGGGCCAGATTTGGGTCAGATCATGAGGGTCATGGTAACAGAAAGAAAAAAAAAAAGATGCATTGCTCCAGACAGGTTCAGACTGAGACACTTCCGAAAGCACTTTGTGTTTCTGCCTAGAAATAGGCCGCATGGAGCGAAACGTTTAGATGGATTTGGCCAATATGCACAAAAATCCGCCAAATGTAAAAATCCAAGCAGGAATAAAAACAATGCTGTTAAAGCGGTTGAATTTCTTTATGATCATTGTCAATAACATTGTTTTCTTTATCTTCAACTTCCACTGCAGTATTCATCATGCTTTGGGGCCCCCTAAACAATAGGGGACTCTCATAAATGCTTGAATTTAAAATCAGAGATCTTCATTTCATATGTTTGATTTTTGAAAATAAGAATACTGTTAAATTTATTTGATGCTTTCAGCAAAAACATATTAAAAGATTCCAAACAAATATTTAAATTTCAAATTCAAGAGTTTTAAAGCTTGTTTTGTAAAAGTCCAAAGGATAACCTTTGTTTGATGGTTGATATTAGTTAAAATATGATGCAGTGGATTTAATAATTTGTTTATGTTTGAGCTTGGTTTATTCACTAATGTATATCAGCAAATAATAGCCAACTATTTATCACTGCTTTTATGCTACTCCCATTAAAGTTTGCTCTCTCCTAGTTGATATTCTATACAGTAAGGACCCCAAACTGGACCATCCATGATTTAGATCAAACACTTTGATGAAAACCATTATGAGTTAAAACAATTTTTATTTTCCCTTTGGGATTAAAAAAGTACTTTAATTTTGAATTTAATTAAATTGGACATGCTTTCTCCTTAAGAAAAACTGACATCACAGCCTTGTTAATGCAGTTTGACTTAAAAACAATAAAGTGAAACTGCATATTAGTTGTTACCTACATAAAGAGTTACATTTATTTTTAACTTTAACTTGGTTTAATGCTGCAGAAATGTGAACATTTCTCAGGGCTGTAAACAGAGCTGGTGGCGGCCCACCGTGGTTAGTTATATTTTATGGGAAGACATGCAGCATACCACATGAGATATGCGCAAGTTCACAGGTTTCAAAAATAAAGGTAGAGTGAAAGAAATAACTCACGCATTTAAAAAAAAAACTACTCGTAAAAAGGCCGCTGGAATGTTGAGTGGCTGTTCATATTTGATATTTTATTGTAAAAGTTATTTTTAATGATAAAAATATAAAATTGTTAGCAAATTCTGGTACTGTAAAAACCAAAATAGAAAACATACAAAATAACTTATTTATGCAGAAAAAAAATTATTTTCTGAATATTTTTGAGGGAGTTAATACATTTTTTTAATCCTTCAATTTGATTATAATTTGTTAAATTATTTAATACATCGTTATATTAATTAATGATAAATGCATACTTGATTATGTTAAGGCAGCCTTAGTCTGGCCCATATGCCCTGTGATCAGTGGCCAGTCCAGCCCTGGCTGTTAACAAGGTTTATTATTACAAATATGAGTCTTTACAATGATTACAATGAGTATTATTACTTCATCATATCTATATCTGTTCTCCAAAATGCTATCCTTTTTGTGCCACATTTGATCCTTGTGCTGTGAAAGTATTTTCCCTGATGCACACATGGTTACTGACAGGTTTATCAAACACTGACCTCAATGGTACCAAATTGTTGTGGAACAGCCCAGAGTGCAACCAAAATGTATAAAAAAAATAAAAAAAAACTACTGTGAGGGAAAAGCCAATATTTTCTACTTTGCTGTAAAGTTTTTATAGAGGCCACTTTCCTCCTAAAGTTATCATAAACACACTCTTTCCTGCTGTCCCAGGGTTTATTAAGACTGTTAAATGTTGTCACCATACTCCGAGTTTAACTCTTTAAATGGTAAATGGTAACTCTTTATTACAGCTATTCCGTCTCTGATCACTTTCTGCACACGGCATTGACCATTAACGGAGCTGAATTGTTATACATCTCCACAGAATATCTACACTAAAAAGCAAACCATCCCATTGATGTTTTTGTGTCTTCTAGCAAGGAAATAAATGTGCATCACCCAGACAGAGAAGCTGCCAGTCTGTGGGGTCTGGCTTAATTATTTCTTATTTTGTTTAAGCTGAATATGTAACAGGAAGAAGGAAGGGATACATTCATAGAATTTTAGGGATTATGATTCACGTTTGGAAAACACAATTTATGTTTTGTTGCCAGTGATCACTATCTTGCAGAACAGCTGTTTGCATAACACCACCTTCATCTTGCTCTTGCTGTTTTATACTTTATTAAGACAGAAACTGCTTGGCAAAAAAGGCAGATCTGAAAAGTGTTAATGGGAGGTCTGATACCGTAGGCATTCATTTTTTTAACCCTTCACCATTTGTCTTATGGTATTTACAAGGCAGGATGTAAAGAAAATATGAATCAATCTCTAATCAGCATTTTACATGTACAAGAAATTTGCTTAGATAAGGTGCTTTACGGACAAGCAAATACAAATATATTTGGAATAAACAAATGCAGTTCTGAGGGATATTTATGAGAATAGAGAACAAATCAAACAATTTTGCAAAGAGGAAAAGCACGATGGCACATATTAAAAATATAAGAATGAACTAAATGCATTCTTCAGTCAAAAAAACTGGTGTCTCCGAGTTGCATTGAGAAATTTCGATTATGAGTAAAGAACATGGGTATGATGTATTTTCAGAGTCAGATTTCCAAATTTTGAAAATAACTATAACGTAATTGTTTTGTCCAACTGTTAGCTAAAGATACATCCAAAATGATTCCCTCATCCTCTCACATGTATCGCTATACGTAGGTTAATTATTCCCTTTACTAAGTGGTTCCCAAACTTAACTGGCTGGACCCAACTTTGGTTTTAAAAAAGTGTTCATGCCAAACCCCCCCATCCAGCCCTTCAAACATCCCTACTAGGGGTGAACAATAATTTAGTACCGTATCAATATATATTGCTGCACAAATGTATTCGTTAAAGGAGATATAAAATGTATTATATTGCAATATAGAAAGCAGTCTATAAATACAGTGTTTGTCACCAATTGAAATAATATTTTATTTTCAAAGCAAATATGTCTAAAATGCCATATTGGCATTTTTTAAACTCAACATAATCTTCAAATGTAGTTAGAAGCATCTGTAGGGGGCATTCTTGGCAGCTCTTTTGATCCCTTCATTTTTTACATTGATAATAAAAGTATTGTATCAACCGAAAACAAGAAATATATTATGATATAATGTTTAGCCATATCATCCAGCCATATGTTGAACAAAGAAACTGCAATTAACTACATATTACAATGAAATAAACAATGGCAAAACTAACAGCTTTAAAGTTTCATAAATTTAAGGTTAACCATTTATTATAGTGTTTAGTAGAACTCAAGGTGGCTTAAGGTTACACTGGGCCCCTGCCTTAACTTGCAGATGCCTCTCCTTGTAGCTGATTATTCCTACTGGGCTTGTTAAATGCTTGCCAGTGAGGACCAGTATCCTTCAACTTCTGACCCCACTTCAGTACACCTGAACTACGTCTGTTTCCTCACCAGGTCTTTAGTTTTGACTGATGGCTGCTAAGACCTAACAACGTATTTATTTGGTTCAGCTGTGTTGAAGAACAGTATTTATAACATGCTGAACACTAGCCCTCATAACTGCACATGACACTTAAGGACTAGAAGCACTTTTAAAACGTAGAATATAATTCAGGCTTCTCCCAATGGAAGACAGCCTGCATTTGGTTCCTGATTTACTTATGTATTCAGTTTACTTAAGTTGTGAACTTAATTTAGGAAAAAATGTAATACATACATCTGAGCTGCAGATATATAAAATACATGATATATAAATGACTGCACTGAAGTACAGTTAATGTTTAAAGCCTAATTCTCAACCTTAGGGGGTAGTCCAATTGATTTTTTCTGACTTTGATTTAGAAAGTTATGAGTTTAAATATAGAAGTGAAATGTTCCCCACCGCGAAAATGTCTTTCACTTCTTTAGGCATATTGACATAAAGGCAGATCATATCATAATACGTAAATAAAGATTTTTTTATTGACGTTCTTGCTCAAATAATGCTAACAATACATTCCTGTAAGAGAAATATCCTTTTTTACATGTCATTATTTTATACCACAGCAGCACATTAATGGATTTATGTAACATACATTTTAAGCATAATTTAAAGGAGATGTTGATGGTCTTGAATGTGCTGTACAATGGGCTAAGCTGGGGCTTAGGTCCCACATTTAAATTCTGTATGAAGGCCTAATAAATCCCTGGGCCAGATCTGCTTCCATGTGTTAACTGTGAATATTTAAGTGAAACATCAACAAATGAATCAATGAATAAATGCACTTAACACCACTTCATCCTTTATCTTTTCTCAATCTGATTAAAGTGTGTTGACAAAGTGTGTCCACATGTCTTTACACCTGAGCTGAATGAAGATAGCCCAATGGGGTAAGTGGTTGCTGAATATTTTATTACAGTCTTTATATCCACTTTATACAAAAAAAGTAAAATAAGAAAAGAAAAAAAGAAAAAAAATAAGGGGGGGGTGCAAGAAGCTTGGGATTGGATTAGAGGTTCTTGGAGTACCGCCGCCTCACTGAGTCTCTGTAGAACTGGAAGATCTTCTCCGATGCTTTCTGACTAATGGCTATACACTGCTGCAGCTGTGGAAGAATGCAAGAGTCAGATGGCACCATACACAAATCTGAAGAATATGAGCAATACTGCGTAAAAGACAACAAACCTCTTGAACTGAAAACGAGCCTCGGGTTGATGACATCATTACTCTGTGTTCTTTGCTGTCGATGGCAAAAGTCATCAACGCTCGACTTTCCTAAGGAGAATTTTAAAAACAGGATGAGTGCTGATTTTTGTAAAACAAACATGTATAGAACAAGTAACATCAGAAATAGAGCTTTGCAAAATCTGAGTATTAGAAACTGCCACACCAATTCGTGCCAACAAAGTCAATAGATTCTAAGTAATTGGCACATACTCCATATTGAACATCATGATAGAATTTAATTGGTGACATCATTGAAACAAAATTGTCTCAGTCTATATGAACAATTGTGCATTGTAGCTAATTTTATTTTCGGTTATTTAAATTTCCGAACCCAAATAAGTCAAAAAATCTGTTTCTGTTTGTTTTATAACATCCAACAGCACCTTACTATACCATCTGTGTGTCCCTATTCTGCATTGAAAACTTGAGAGCCTTTTTGGTGGCTGACTGAAACACACCAATGGGGAGAGAATGACAGCCTAAACATAATTATATTCCTGTCTTAGACAACGTTTATTACCCTCAAAACATTGGCGGCCCTACTCGTTCTTGTCACCATACTCTTTAGCTATGCTTCTCAGTGGAGAGACAAATCCTCCAAGAATGTATCTTGTCTAACCTTTTGAATTGCTTTTAGGTATAATTGTGATTGACTATATTGATATAAATTTATTTAAGTAAAACTATTATACTATCTGCTCTACTGAATATGTTACAGCAGTGGACAACAACTAATTTCTACTACCTGAGGAGTAGTAGATTAGTAGGGTAGCAGTAATCACTCAGTAATCAAAATTACCACTCAGTGGTTAACTTCTTTATCAGTCTCTAATATCAGGTTAAAGGAACTGTGACCCACTGTCATTGACAATATTGCTTTATTTTATTGAGGTTTATAACATTTTGTTACAAAGGAGCTCTCATTGTTTCACAAGAGCTTTTTAATCAGATCAAGTTAGGGAATTTGAACTAGCGATTGGAATTTCTCAGCCTTTGTGTTTTTTTTTTTTTTTTACTGAAATGCTATCATTTATTTTTTAGAAACCTGCTATGGTCTTCCAAAAGACTTGCACTTCAACTGAGACATGCTGCCAATATACATTTTCAGAGGTTTTCTTCTGGAAGCCTTTAGAAATAAAAAACATTTAGTCTATTTGGATCAGTTGTGCAATGAACTTTTTACATTTAACGTGGAAACTGGGGCCTTTAGATTCTGAAATTATTTGTTCATTTAAGGTCTGAGAGAACATGGGCACCACCCTCTCCTTGAAAGAATATATACCACTTTAAGGACCCGTTGTCCTTAAGGTGTCCATTGTTATGAACACTTGATTAAATTCAATTCAAAATTACTTTATACTATATACTATAATTACTTATATATTATTTAAATAAATGATGTTAGTATTTTAGTTTTAACGAATTAATGTCAATTTAAAATAATTATTTCATAAATTATTTATTTATTTATTTATATTTGTAATTTTCACCCTCCATACTGTATTAATTCTGTATGGGAACTAAATGTAACTACTATACGGTTCTGTTTATTTTATATGTTAAAAGATTTCTGCATGAAGGATCTCCTGTAGCGGTCAGAGGATCTGGGGGTGCCTTTGACTGAAGCCCCTATGTTGTAATTATTGTTCAGCAGTCTAAATGTTATATCCTGAGACATTAGCCCGTGGATATAAATCTGTGTTCACTTTTTTTTTTTTTTTATCTATGAGAAGTTTAAAATACCAAAATCGACAAGTTAAAAGCTAAAACAGTTTTCATTAGATAGTTTTCCATCCAACTAAAACGTCCATTGAAAATCTAGCATGTGTTTAAGCTGAGCTTGAATTGTTTTTCAATGCTTTTCAGAGGTTTTGACTTACCTTCTCCTGAGCTGCAGTTGGGTCTGTTATGATTTCACCTTCTGTACTGATGGCACAAGTCACTCCACAAAACAAGCAACTCATAGACAAGCCTGCATCCATCAGGGCCATGCAGGCTGCATTTAGACAGCAGGACAGGAGCTGACCAGAAGATAAGGAACAAAAGCAAACCAGTACCACACCAGCAGATTTACCTTCATACCAAACAGCAATGAAGAATGTTTTTTTAAAGGATACTGATCCAGCATCGTGTAGCACTTGCAGGATGAGTGTGAGCGAGGAACGAGGATGAAGAGATAAAAGAAGAGATGCCTCACAGGTTTCGCGTACGCACTGCTCCTGGGATCGTTCCCTCACACCTAGAAATGAAAAACAAAAAGAGTGTAGCAGGTTCCTCCTTGTTGAAAGTAGGAGTAAAGCAGCTTTTTTGTTAAAGAAAAGACAGTGAAATATGAACATGAAGCACACACATCTGGATTTAAAGCTTGAATATTTCCTTTTTTTTATTTCTGACTGTAGAATCATGTCTGAATGAGGTCAACAAATAGCTTTAAGGGTAAAATTAGGTCAACTGCTTTCTGGATCATTTGCAAGTCACCTAGTAATAAACTATTCATATGACTTATTTAAGCTGAACCAAGGAAACATTGAGAAAACAGAGAAAAACAGCCCTTCTCCCTAAGAGGGCTGGATTCCACTTATTAAGACCAGAGCTAAAAAACATGAATTATTGAAAATTCAGATGCAATGTATGAATAACCTCTGGCTTTGAACATTTAAAGTAACCAAATCAGTTGTTAATTGATTAGGAGAGAAGTTCCAGCTACTTTTATTAGAATCTACATTTACATTTAATGAAATATGAAGGAATTACCAGGAAGTCCAACTTTAGGATAAACTAGGACCTCCAGGGTTGCTCTGTCATAGATCTCTTTGCTGACTTTCACCTCAGCGGGTCCGTACACTCCAGCCATCACACTGGTATCGCCTTTAAAGAAGAGCAAAACAGAGAAAATTAAAAAAAAAAAAAGATCTGATATTTTTGCATTCTCAAAGATTATGATTATGATTTAAGGCTTGGACATTTCATTTCATGTACATCTGCTCATATAAGAAATCAGAGGTTTAGCAGTAGAATAGATGGCTTTTTCCAAAAGAAGAGCAGAAGAAGAAAGGGTGCAACAGAAGCATGCTGACACACATGCAGAGCTCGCTGTGTGCTGGCAGCAGGTTGGTGTCAGATGCTAAGGCCAAATGTAATGGACTGAAATCATATTGCTTGTTAAGTCATATCAAAAGCCTCGGCTTCAAATAGAAATCCATGGACCCAAAGGCAAATCATTGGGCAATTTATTGTAAAATGATCCGCCTAGGACACTTCAACAGACAGGCTCTATAACTTTCACACTACATTATCTACATTTCCCAAACAAATGTTGGTGGTTAAGTTAAGATTTCGCTTTCTGAAAGACGAGATCACTATTTTCCTAAGTGAATCAAATAAACTTACCTACTTTATAATTTTTATAAACATAACGTAGTAACAGAGAGACAACTTGAGTTAAACGGTCTTTCAAAGACGTGGCCCGTTTTTAAGTCAGGATGGGGAAAGTAATATTTGTACTTTTACCTTGAACAAAAGAGGCCGATCCATCCGGACGAGAGAGTAAGGTCTGTTCACAACCGAACTCCCTGAGAGAAACATTTTCAGAAGGAGAGACTTCCATCATGCTGCTTTCACGGTGGAGACTGTGACTGTCGCAGCTAAATTACGTCATTGTTTAGTTTTTTTTTTCTTATTTATTTAAATGCAACATTTTTTCATCTATATCATAACAGATAGCGTTTTTAAAAATAAGAAATTCGAGTTCTGACATTTATGTATCTTGTGCCTCTCTAGATTCTTGCGAAATCTTAAGAATTTAAGACGAAATTTATATTTCTTCGTTTAATCTTATGACGACTCGCATACTGTTTAATGGCGCTTTACCGCCACCAAGTGGTTAGGATATATAAAGATACCCTCTTCAAATCCAATGGCGAAAAGGCGGTCTATAACTTGAACACCAGGTATCAGTAAAAATAAATAGACAAATGAACAGTTTTTCTTCATTCTTTTTCACAAGACAGTACAGAGCAATACCATGTAGAGCAATGAAAACATACCCGAGAATAAAAACTGCAAATAAGTTAAAAGTTCACGAGTTAAATGTCTTATAGTTTTAAAATACTATATTTTTTGTTTATTTAAGCAAAGTTTGTGAATATGCTAAGCATGAAATATAGAATAACATGAAAACAATATATTGAAATACAATATGACAAATTAACATTGAATTATCAGAGTTTATAACATATTGGATTTCTCCATAAAATAAAAACTAACCTCTGCCTCCAAAAGTTGAATAGATGCAATTCAAAATCATTATTGAAATATATCCAACTACCCCAGCGACCTGACCCCGGATAAGAGGAAGAGGATGGATGGATGGATGGATGGATGGATGGATGGATGGACAGATTTTGACAGTTGGCAAGACCAAAAGAACATTGTTCTGTCTTCATTATCTGATATTTGACATCTGATTTTGATTTAGGCCTTTATTTTAAGTCTCTGAGACTGTTGAAATCTAAAAATGCAGTCAAATTATCATCTTTGTTGGAAAATTTTGACTTAATTTAATATTGCATTTTTATTTTAGTTTATATATATATATATATATATATATATATATATAT